TCAATAAACTGTAAAAGAGAAACCGATACTTACGCAATGTTCTCCGGCACAAGGACGCCACCAGCTCCAGCAGCGAAGCCGTAGCCCTTGGGGCCGAACCTCTTAGCGTAGCACAGCTTGCAGTAGATCTCGCCGTCGGGGCCGTCGCAGAACACCATGGCATCCAGGGGGCGGGTGCAGTCCAGGCAGTTGTAGCAGCGCTTGTGCCACTTCTGTTCGGGGAGGAGGTCATATTTGGTCAAGTATCTGGCCATTTTGAAAGCAAGTAGAAGGCTGATAACTATATGTATTAGGAGTCACATAATTATATATGTTAAATGCAATGAGGATAATATTTCAGATTTAGAGATACAGAGAAAAAAAAAGTATCATCGTTAAAAACAAAACTACAGAAGGTATTGGATACAAGGATGTCAAATGATGAGAGCAGAATTTCCTAGATGCTCGACTTTACTCAGTTGTAGTTCCGATTAGAGAGCTTGCCTGAAACGCCATGTAACGTAATGCAACTTGAGAGATTTTTCCTTCAGGCTCTATTCAATCTAACAGCAGCGAAGATAAAGTGATCAAAGGTAGATATAGCAGCTGTTGGTATGACTGATCATACGAGTAAACATCTGTGCTTTTTACTGTAATATGCAAGAGATGTAACTGACGCCTTTATATTTAACCTGTTTCGGAATTACGTTTATCCCCATCGCTGTTTTTCAGAGTAAACACATTTCATAGTTTTTCCTCGTTAAGGTACGGCAGGAACATGACTATTACGTACTAGAACAAAGACCGCCTCGTTCTCTATCTTGTTATTCTTTTGGTGTTGCTGTTCAACGCACTCCAACAGGTAGAATAAAAGCGGTTGACGAGAGTAACTCAACCCTTGTTAAATAAGAAATATATATCACTGTCACTGGTTTCTATGTTTAATTAATTAACAAGAACATTACAGTATAATTCCAACATCGCATGTTCGTGAAAAAGTATAAGCTTTTTTATGATTCTATTACTGAGCTAGGTAGCAAGTATGGGCAGAGCTGTATTGGTATTACTTTACTGCATTAATAATAAAAAAATTAAGGATGTTTCCCTTGTTGGCAATTTATTTTATTAATAATGGGAGTCATGTGTTTTTCTTCTTTTCAGTCTAGTTCCACGTTAATATGGTTTAACGTTTCGTTGCCCCGCACAACTATGCCGAGAATGCAAGAGAACTGCAGGAAAGCGAGAGAGGGGGAAGACGGAGACCCAACCCCCTAAACCCACTCCTTCACCCGCCTTGCACAGCTAACAGCAACCCAGAAGCTTGCAATTTAGTGTCTGCAACTTCCGTGCCGAGAGCGAGAGAGAAGAGAGAAGGAGAACCACCTTGCCGCGGGAGAGCCTCTCCTCGGCCGTGAAGACCTTGCCGCCGCAGCGAGGGCATCCTTCGCCGGGAGCCGCGGGGATGGAGGTGGTGTCGATGGCTGCCGACGCAGGGTTGACGCCGGGCATCTGCGAGCCGCCGCCACTGAGGGGGGGGGGGGGGACTCGGTTAGAGCGCGCAGAGTGAATGCTTGGTGGAGGCTGGTCGTTCCTTCGACTTCATTTGTGATTGTCGAAGTAAACCACAATACTTGGGTATAATTGCATAGCAGTACATACAATATTACAAACTACGACAAAAGCCCTATGTATCTACGTACTTATGTATCTATATATCTATTTGCCTATCTCTCTATCTATATATATATTGAGTATATGTGTATATATATATATATATATATATATATATATATATATATATATATATGTACATGCGTGTGTGTGTGTGTGTGTGTGTGTGTGTGTGTGTGTGTGTGTGTGTGTGTGTGTGTGTGTGTGTGTGTGTGTGTGTGTGTGTGTGTGTGTGTGTGTGTGTGTGTGTGTAAATATGTATGTATGACTGTGTATATGTATATAATTATATATATATATAATATATATATATATATATATATAGATAGATAGATATAGATATAGATATAGATATAGATATAGATATAGATATAGATATATAGATATATAGATATATATAGATATATATACATATGCATGTAAATATGTAAATATGTAAATATAATATATATATATATATATATATATATATATATATATATATATATATATATATATGTATATATATACATATATATGTATATATATATATATATAATATATATATATATATATATATATACATCTATATATGTGTGTGTGTGTGCGTGTGCGCGCGCGCATATATATACACATCTGAAGAGAGAAAAAGAGGCAGCGCATCTGTACTCACGGGATGTTCTCGGCGACCAGGACGCCACCGCTGCCAGCGGCGAAGCCGTAGCCCTTGGGGCCGTACTTCTTGGCGTAGCAGAGCTTGCAGTAGATCTCGCCGTCGGGGGCGTCGCAGCCCACCACGGAGTCGAGCGGGCGGTGGCAGTGGAGGCAGTTGTAGCAGCGCTTGTGGAAGCTGCGGTTGCGGACGTGGATCTCCTCGGCCATGAAGACCTTGCCGCCGCAGCGCGGGCAGCCCTTGCCCTCCTCGGCCTTGATCTTGGAGGTGTCGATGCGGCCCAGGTCGGCGCGCTTCTTCTTGGAGTCGTCCTCGCCGCCGCTGCGAGAGAAGGCGGTTAGCGTCGCGCGGGGGAAGCGCCTCGGGGCAGAGGGCCCAAAATGCACAGATTACCAAGCCAATTCCGCGTGAAAAAAATTCAATACTCACGCGATGTTCTCAGCGACCAGGACGCCGCCGCCGCCGGCAGCGAAGCCGTAGCCCTTGGGGCCGTACTTCTTGGCGTAGCACAGCTTGCAGTACACCTCGCCGTCGGGGGCGTCGCAGCCCGTCATGGAGTCCAGAGGGCGGTGGCACAGACAGCAGTTGTAGCAGCGCTTGTGGAAAGGCTGGAAAGAAAGCCATTGTTGACACAATGATAAACACATGCCTGACAATATGCACCAAAATGATCATGCATATTAACTGAATGATAACTAGATTCCCTTTGACGAATCACTCACTCTTCCGCGGGCGTTGATCTCCTCAGCCATGAAGACCTTGCCGCCGCAGCGAGGGCAGCCCTTGCCGTCCTCGGCCCGGATCTTGCTCACGTCCAGCGCCGCGGACCCAGGGTTCACGCCGGGCATGCTTTCACCGCCGCTGAAGGAAACCGGAGGTCAGTGGCTCATATTCCGAAAAGATGGAAGAGAATATGTAAGTCGACAGCGAAGCGGTAAACAAAGAACACAGTTCTACTACTCACGGAATGTTCTCAGCAGTGAGCACACCGCCACCGCCGGCAGCGAAGCCGTAGCCCTTGGGGCCGTACTTCTTGGCGTAGCACAGCTTGCAGTAGATCTCGCCGTCGGGGGCGTCGCAGTGCACCATGGAGTCCAGGGGGCGCTTGCACTGGCGGCACTTGAAGCACTTCTTGTGGAATGGCTGGAAGGGAACGGAGACTGTCAGGGCCCGCGGCCGTGTGCCTGATGACCTTGGATGCAATTGTGTGTAACAATATATATATATATAATATATATATTATATTATATATACATTATATATATATGTATATATATATATATATATATAATTATATATATATATATATATATATATTATATATATATATATATATATATATATATATACTTGGGAGCATCAAAAAGATAAAATGGCAATCGGCAGGTCATATACGTCGAAGACAGGACAACAAATAGACAAAGAAAGTAACAGACTGGGCAATAGATAACACACAGAGGTCAAGGGCCAGACCAATGACAAGATACCGTGACGAAATAACGAAATTTAGGGCCAAGACTGGAAAAAAAAACGCGACAAAAAAAGGAAAAGATTGGGAGAAGCCTGCCGTCCTGCAGTGGATTGATTCGGGCTGATATATTATATATATATATATATGTGTGTGTGTATATATTATATATATATATATATATATATATATATATATATATATATGTGTGTGTGTGTGTGTGTGTGTGTGTGTGTGTGTGTGTGTGTGTGTATATATATGTATATATATATATATATATATATATATATATATATATATATATATATATATATGTGTGTGTGTGTGTGTGTGTGTGTGTGTGTGTGTGTGTGTGTGTGTGTGTGTGTGTGTGTGTGTGTGTGTGTGTGTGTGTTACGTATAGGCGGATAGACAGACAGATAAAGATAAACAGACAGAGAGATGCACACGCACATACACACTCATCCCTGGCCACTTACCCTTCCCTTGGCCATCATGAGCTCCGCCATGAACACTCGGCCGCCGCAGCGAGGACAGGGGGTCTCTCCCTCGTGTGCAGGAATAATGGCGTCGGGGTTGCCATGGGGACGCACGATGGGGGGCTGCGGGAGGGAGGGAGGTTATGCTCGCTGGTGGGGGTGGTGATGAGGGGTGGGTGTGGTGGGCGTGAGGGTGATGGTGTGGGGGTGGTGTTGGGGTGATGGTATGGGTGTGGTGTTGGTGGGGGTGTGGTGGTGATGATGGTGTGGTGTGGTGATGGGTGGGATGTGGTGATGCTGATGGGGTTGATGGTGATGATGGTGTGGCTTGCGGTGGTGTTGGTGAGGACGGTGAGGGTGATGCTAGTGTGGGTTGTGATGTGGGTGACGGTGGTTATGCAGTGGATATCTGCGATGCTGAGAATGATGATGATGCTTATGGTGTAGGTTGGAGGTGTGGGTGATAGTGATAATGATTTTGCTTAGGGTTTGTTGTGACGATGTAGTTATGGTGTAGAGGGGGTTACTGATATGACATGATGTTTATTGTGTGATGCATGCTATGGTGCCATGGTGATTCGAAGACAGTACTGTTGCCTAAGAAGTGTTTACAGATATATGTGATGCTGTGATGACTGAAATGATGTTGAATGTGATACATAGATAAAAATGAATCTTCTGATATGGAAGCATTACAAAAACAATCATCTATCTATTTTCGAAAAGAGGTATGACGGTTTATATCTTACCT